GAGTGCACGCGCCCTACAGTGAAAATCTCTCCCAAAAAAAAAAAAAAAGACTGGACTAGCTTCAGCAGCTTGAAATATACTCTGGGCCTGTGTACATGATGGTATGGAGAAATGCAGGAAAGGGGGTTGTGGCCTGACCGTGCCCCACTGGGGGGTGTTTTCTTCTCTTTCTGGCTCTCTTGCTCTCTCTCTGTCTCTCTCTTGTGAGCACACCCACCTTCTAACATTTACACAAAAAAAGGAAAAGGTTGGAGAGAGAGAGAGAGAGTCAGTCCAAACGGAAAATCTGGAGAGACAGAAAGAAGATTAGCCAGGAAATGGGAGAGAGAAACGGAACAGCTCATGGGCATGGGGTTTCTTTTTAGGGTGATGAAACACCTTAAAATTGGTCATCTTGGGGATGACAGGTGTCATGGGGTTAAAGACGCTGAACTCCCACATTGCTGACCAGAATTCAAGTCCAGGACCTGGTGGCTTGCTTTCTTACTTTCCCTCTCTCTCTCGCTCTGTCCCTCTCTGGTCAAATTTTTAAAAATAAGTAAATTGGGACCAGCAGTTGGCATAATGACTATGTCACTGCAAAAAAAATTTTTTTAAATAATTATTTATTTTAATTATTTATATATGTATTTTAATTTGACTAGAGAGAGACACAGAGAGAGAGTGGGAAAGTCAGAAAGCAAGCTACCAGATTCGGGACTTGGAACAGTGGTCAGCCACAGTGTCCAGTACCTTAACCACCACACCACTTGCTGGCCCCAATAATTCTTTTTTTTAATTATTGTATTTAACTTTATTTATTTACTTATTTATTATGTCTTTAAATTTTGACCAGAGAGGGATAGAGTAAGTGAGAGAGAGAGGGAAAATGAGAAAGGAAGCCATTAGCTGTGGGAGTCCAGTGCTCTTAACCACCATGCCACCTGCCGACCTCCCCCCTTTTTTTGAGAGGTTTTTGCCTAAAGATATGTATACTCATTGAAGAGATAGACAGAGATGGTGAGAGGGAAGGTGAAAAATCACCCCCGAAGGGATGGCCACGCTGCAGTTCCTTCTCCTCATTCTCCTTTGGGGATCTTGGGCATGCACGCAAACACACCCAGTGTGATTTTCAAGCCAAAGAGGTCCAGGACTCGAATCACAGTTGGCCATGTGGGAGTCCAGTGACGTAACCATTATGCCATCTGCTGACCCAGAAAACAAATAATTCTTTTAAAAAGGGAGAAAGAGGACCCAAAGAGCTTGTTCTTGTGGGTTATATTTATTGATGTTTACTGTATTGTAAGTTAAATATGAGGGCATCTGAAGCGCCAGAATACACATACACACATTCCATCAACTGTCAGAGCGATGACGTCCTCATATGGCCTGGAGCCTCTGAAAAGCTCCATGAGATGCCTGTGAAAAAGAGCCAATAACATCATATTATTATTTTTTTAAAGAATTATTTTACTTAACTTTATTTATTTATTCCTTTTTAATTTGACCAGAGAAGAACAGAGCGAGAGAAGCAAAAGGAAAAGTGAGAAAGCAAGCTGCCTGGTCCAGGACTTGAACCATGGTCAGCCATGTGGGAATCTAGGGCCCTTAATCACTACGCCACCTACTGTCCCCAACATATTCATATTATTATTGAAAGGACTTGATCTCACAGACCTCCCACCGCCATCGCTGCCCCACCCCACTCCTAGATTTCAGAGACCTCAGGGGTCCCTGACCACACCTTGTGACCCTGGTTTCCAGAAGTTCCTCTCGTGCCCCCTCCTGGTTACTCCCTCACCAAGGGTGATACCTCACTTTGGCTTAGCCTGTTTTTGTTCTTTATGGGAACATAATTGGAGAGTGTGTTCTCTCTTGGATCCGGCTTCTTTTGCTCATCGTGTCCGTGGTGTTATGTGGAGTGGTAGACTGTTGATTCAGTACAATGCCGGCACTCTGCAACTCTCCCACAATTTACCCATTCATTCTACTGGAGGTCATCTGGGTTGTTTCCAGCTCGGGATGGTGATGAATAGTGCTGCTGTGACTGTCCTTGTACTGTCTGGGTGGACACGCGTATGTGTGGCTCTCGAGTGTACACCCAGGAGAGGAATTGCATCGGGTACTGGCATGTGCTTTACTACACACTTCCCAGCTGTTTTCCAGGGGCTAGTACCAGGATGCCCTCACCAGCAGGGCTGAGCTGAGGCTGCTTTCCCAACACTTGGTACTGTCCCTTATATCTCAGCCCTTCTGGAGGGTATGCAGTGGTGTCATGATGATGACTTGTTAGTTTCTCCCTCTCTTTCTTTTTTTAATTTGCTATAAAGCATGTGTGCTCACCAGAGAGAGAGAGAAACTGAAAAATCACCACCAGGGGGAATGGCCATGCCATAATCCATTCTCCTCTTGGGGTTTTGGGCACGCCCACCCACATGCCTGGCATTTTTTTGTGGTTTTTTTTTTTTTTTTTTTTTGAGAGGTTTTTCACTATAGGGCGCGTGCGCTCGCCAGACAGACAGAGAGACCGAAAGCGAGAAATCACCCCCCAGAGGGGATGGCCACGCCGCAATCCCTTCTCCTCCATTCTCCTCTCGGGATCTTGGGCACACATGCACACACTCGGCATGGGTTTTAAGCCACTGGGTCTGGGATGCGAACCACGGTTGACTACGTGGGAGTCCAGTGACATAGCCATTACGCTAACTGCTGGTTCCCATGCCTGGCATGTTTTTTCAAGCCATTGGGTCCAGGACTCAAACCATTCAGTAGGGCATATGGGATCCAGCACCTTAACCACCTTGCCACCTGGTTGGGCCCATGATGACGATTTCTGTGCTCATGGTAGTAATGATCATCCTCTCTTCCCCAGAGGGCAGCTCCCGGCTAGGCTCCAGCCCTTTCCTGTCAGAGGCCAATGCTGAACGGATTGTGCAGACTTTATGTACAGTTCGAGGGGCAGCCCTCAAAGTTGGCCAAATGCTGAGCATCCAGGGTACAGTATGACCTTTGACTCTTGACTTTACTCTGACCTAACTCCGCCCCACCCATCCACCAAGCCCTGACTTCAAATGCTTACACACTGAGTATTCTCACCTCCTCCCTCACTGTTTCCCTTGTCCCGCTATCTCCCAAGACAACAGCTTCATCAGCCCCCAGCTGCAGCGCATCTTTGAGCGGGTTCGCCAGAGTGCCGACTTCATGCCCCGTTGGCAGATGTTGGTGAGTACCCCAAGCAGGAGGGCAGGCAGTCCTCCTGACCTGCCTGACTCTCCTAGCTTCATTGCTTTACCCCCTATGTGACTCTGAGCCTCAGTTTCCTCATCTGTAAAATGAGAATCACCAAAGTACATACCTCACAGCATCATGGTGATGATTAAATGAGAGGGTGGTGCTGAGTGCTTAGTCTGGTCCTGGGCACAGGCTCAGTACTCTGTCAAGGCAGCAGTGCACAATAGTTGGGGCCAGACACCATGGCTCAAACTCTGTCACTGCCGCTCACTGCCTCTCACTGCCTGTGTGGCATGTGGCATGACCTCTCTGCTTTAGTTACCTCATCTGGGAAATGGTGATGGTGGTAGCCACACCTACGTCATAGAGTTATATAAATTAGTATAGGGAGATGGGGCTGGATGGTGGTGCAGTGTAAAGTGTGACACTCTGCAAGGCTGACCCACATAGGAAGGTCCTGGTTCATATCCAGAGACCTCTCTAAGCACACTGGCATGCATGTGCCAGAGACCTGGGGCTGGCTGAGGTTGGGGTGCATTGCAGTGTCAAGACCCTACTAGGGGTGCTGTCTTATTTTCTCTGTCTCTACCTTCCTCACTTATGGAAAAATATGTAGAAGTAGTTTATAGAAAAAAGTGATACAAAATTAGTTTTTTTTTTTATTTTTTTTATTGCTGTAGGGCGCATGCACTCGCCAGAAAGACAATGAGAAATCACCCCCAGTGGGGATGGCCATGCCGCAATCCCTTCTCCTCCATTCTTTTCTTGGGATCTTGAGCACGCATGCACATGTGCCCAGCGTGAGTTTAAACCACTGGATCCGGGACTCAAATATGCAGGTGACTACATGGGAGTCCAGTAACATAGCCATGACGCCAACTGCTGGTCCCAGTATAATAATATTTTAAAGAATTATTTAATTTTATTCATCATCATCATTCTTTTATGTGTCTTTTTTTTTTTTTTTAAGAGAGATTTTTGTTATAGGGTGCATACACTTGCCGGAGAGACAGAAAGACAGGCAGGAAGTGAGAAATGAGAAATCACCCCCCAGGAGGGATGGCCAGGCCGCAATCCCTTCTCTTTGTCTCCTCTCAGGATTTTGGGCACGGATGCACACGTGCCTGGCGTGAGTTTTAAGCCGCTAGGCCCGGGACTTGAACTGGGAGTCCAGTGGCATAACCATTACTCCATCTGCTGGTCCTATCATTATTATTATTATTTTAATTTGACTGGCAAGAGACAGATTGAGAGAAGGAAAGTGAGAAAGCAAGCTGCCAGATCTGGGACTCAAACAGCGATTGGCCATATGGGA